AACAAAAAAACAAAAAAACAAAAACAAAAAACAAAAAAGAAATTTTTCAAAAGTACTATTTTCAAGTTCTAACTCCCCATGGATTCCACTGCAATCTACTGCAAAAGTCCTCATTAGTTTGTAAGCCACTTCCCTGTCAGAAGTACTGACAAGAATGCATGTGGAAAATTTATCGATGAACTGTTTTATATCCAACTTGACCAAAAAAAAAAAAAAAAGTATCTGCAACTGTTTCTATGGAATAACCTTACTTAGCACCTACCCATTTGTATCTTCAATGTTCATTAATGCCTGGATCACCAAAGGTAACTCATATTTCACTATGAAGAGGTAGCTTGACATAGCTGGAGGAAAACAAAATTAAACCATTACAAGTGCAAAATGTGGCCTGTAACACTAAAGCCTTGTGCTACCAAAAATGCCCTTTCCAAACACCTACCTCCAATGTTTTGCATTGTAATCGATCCGGAGGCTGCTAGCTTCCCAGCCAGTCCAAATGCCTTATGGCCTAACTGTTCGTATAATAACGACCCTGCACCGAAAAACAGAGAAATGAAATGCTTTGGAGGCTCCACCCCAGCCCAAATCAGGATAGGTAGAAATTACTAGGGGCGGGGGGAGATAAAAAATGCTGTCGTACCTCCTTCATTGGCAGTCTTCAAGAGGAGATGAACAGAATACAAGGAGAATATTGACACAAATGTCAAGAGAATTCTGAGGAAAAGGAACAGGAACGAGGTTATAAATAAGCAGGGCTACTCATTTCACAACACCCCTGTCTATTAACAGCACTGGAAGCGGTCCCTCTCCTGTCTCTTGACTGACACTAACTCTTGGAGGTTATCAGGTGAGGGTCAGAGTATTAAGGGCATTAAAGGCAATATCCATACTGTGTTCAACGGAGGAGACTCAGCCCCAAGTCCCACGGAGTACACACTGGTATTCTGGTTCTGGCACCGTGATTATCTATACATATATATGCCTTCCATGTGTTCCTAATAGTTTCATTGAAAAGTGCCATTAAACCTGGTCCTCAAGGCTTTCATGCCATTCAACAGACGGGTTAGGAAAGGCTAAGACCCACGGGCCACAGACTGAGAGGAGACTGGCGGGAGTGGAGACTGAGAGGAGACTGGCGGGAGTGGAGACTGAGAGGAGACTGGCGGGAGTGGAACTAATGTTTAGTCAGACATTATTAAAAAAGTTAGCTAACAAATCAGAGCAGTGACAGCTGTGAAGACACAAAACGACGTAGCCCGCTACTGGACACTAGAACGAGTGAGTTGTCAGCTCCAGCCTTCCACTTGGATCGGAAAACTAAAGGGGGAATGAGGAGGAGTAAAGGGCTCTACCATCACCCTTGAGGGGATGGGTTTCTTGGTCAAGTTCCACTCTCCTTCTTCGAAGGCAGTGATTAAAACAAAAAGGAAAAAACCCAGCAAACATGCAAACGAGATAGCCACATAAATTTTGACCTTGTATGGGCAAACCATACACTAATAATGTGGGAAAAAAGGTGGTGGGGGGGACGGACGACGACACACATAAAGTGCAGGCTGTGACTTAGGACATTCAGTTCTGAGGTGACACTATTCACTTGACCTCTCGGGAAAAAGCCAATCTAATAAAAAATAAAATCATTAAAACAAATCAGGTAATATGTCCTGCACCGAGGTAACAGTCACCTTCAACCTCAAAATGAACTCCCCTTAAAAGGTCAACTATAGCATGTGGCTTTTGGTTCATTTACTTCCTTTACATATAATCCAAAAATGGATGAATAAAAACTCACACAATCTTGGTATCATTTAGCCATTTATTAAAATGGTTAATCCAACACATAGTAAGCTATTAAAGTAGAATTCCAAAAGTTCAAGGGTAACACTGTCAAGTTTTACTTTCAGTTATGAAAAACGGTTACCAATAATCACATTGGTAGCATTTTAAAACTTGTTTCCAGTTTTCATGGCAAGAGCTAGGAAGGGTTTCAAATGCTTAACTTTGGGTCCAGCCATTCAGATTTCTCACCAAAAACGGAAATTTCGGGATGTTCTGTATCTGAAGTACCTGAGGCTTCACTTTGACAAGAAACAGCACCCCAAATCCTCACCCTAATGCTTCTGGTATCCAAAGCCAGTCTTAACGTTAGTGTGGAATTTCACAAAGCTGAACCAGCCTCTCTGCTCACCAACATTTTATCATGCTGGGGAGAAAGTAACCCGAGCGGGAGGTTGGTCAGCTAAGCAAAACATAACTGTCACAGAGGGAAGGGACAGTTGTAGAGTAAATGTTTCTCATCTGTGTGTGAGACTATGGTGACCTCAGGGAGGCTTCTGCAGGAATTGTGTCATCCACATGCAGTTAAACAGAAGACACAGTGAAAGCCACACACCCAAACCTGTACATACTCCTGCACTTGGGGAACAGCATTTTTTCTTGCTGGATAGCACTGGGAATCACACCCAGGAGTCGTCGTGCACGCTGGCCAAGCGCTCTACCACTGACTGGCACTTTTAAGCTCATTACTCTTCAATCATAACCCCCAGGGGTCAGTTACCCCAAAATGGGTAAGAACTACCTCCCAACCTCCAAACATGAATTCTGGAAACCAGAGGATCAGCCAATCAATTTTTAAAAAGTAGTAGGCTCATATCTAAAATATTCAGGCATCACACAGATCTGGAAAAACATCATTTTCTTTAAAAAAAAAAGAGTTTGTTCTTTAGCATCCAGAAAATTATGACTCACTCGTGCTAAAACCAATATGTTCTAGGCTAGGTAAATATCACCACACCTTTATCCAGAACTTTCTTTTCCTTACGTTTGTAAGGGCCACAGGTTTGGAGACTGTCAACTGATGAAAGCTATTTGGAGCCACTTCACTTACTATAATTTTGGCTTCTGTTTTTAATCAAACATTACAGTTACTCTAGACTCCTACCCAATCCTCTATCTAACTTGCTTTCTTGATGCTGGATTTCTCCTACGTCAAGTGTAAACGATTTTTTTAAAATCCACTATTTGAACTGTAAATTCTGTTTTCTGGAGCCAAGATAGGTTTATCATATTAACTGCCCGGCACGGCAGGCTCACTACTTACACATACTTACATAAAAAGAGCAATTCCAGTATTAGCCATGGCATAAGAAAGCCCAAGGATTCCACTGCCCACAATCGCATTGCTCAGATTAAATACTGACATTCCAAAGGAAGTAGTACCTGGATGCTACACAGAGGGAAAACGATAACCAAACATATAACAATAATTAAAAGGAGAAAAACCAGCTTTGGGCAAGTTAGATTTGAAATCTCAAAGTAACACTATTCTTTTACTCCATAAAAGCCAAGACACAAATAGCATTTTTAACTTACAAAGTCAGTTTCATATTTCTTCTTCCCCAAATTTGATTCAAGTAAAAAATTCTGGTTTTCAGGATCCACGTCCACATAATGGCTGCGGAGAAAATAAATTATTTTAAAAGGTTAAGCTGTAACCCGACTGAGGGATACGCAAAATCATGTTTTAATATACACAATGTAAAACAGCCCTTTGGTTCTGCTACTGGACCTTGTAGTTAATGCCAACGGAGTAATCACCCGGGCTAGGTCAGTCAGTCGTTCAGTAACAAACAACCGGGTAATTTAGGAAGCTACTTGCTCTGTGAGGCTGGGGCCCCAGGGCAAGCCCCGAGGTGTGATCGTTAGACAGTAACCGATGAGCCGTTCCTCCAGCCCCAAAGCAACCATGTGTACAAGCTGTTATTTATTTTTCTTTCCCAAAGCGCGCTTCTCCCACCTTTTCAGAGCAGCCTGCTTGGTGGGGTATGAGTAGTTGAAGTCACTGTTGGAGCTGTAGCTGCTGCTGTCCTCATCCGGGGAGATGCTGAACCTTCCCATTTCGGTCTTCTTCATGCTGATCGGGATCGGAAGTGTGCGCGGCGTCCGGCGCGGGGCTCCTTTTGTCCTTGGCGGTGCTCAGGCCCTCGAGGCTGCCTGCCTGCCTGCCTGCCTGCGAAGGTAGAGAGGCGGCGTCAGGACTGCGGCGCCCGCCCGCCCGCTCGCTCGCCCGCCCCCGACCACGTGACGCCGCCGGGCGGCGCAGCGCGGCTGATTCATCCCCCGCCAGGCGAGTGGAAAAGTACCAGGCGAGCGAGGGGGGCGGGGGCGCGGCGAGGGGCGGAAAAGTACCGACGGCGGGGACCGCGAGAACAAAGATGCGCCCGCCGCGGCGCCCCCTCCAGCCGCCTCGGCGCCGAGCCCGGTGTCCCCCCCGGCCGGGGCTTGTTTACAGGCAGCACGCCGAGCCCTCCCAGCCGCCGTGGGTCCCCGGTCCCCGGCCCCTCCTCTGCCTCGGGAGGAACTGATGCAATACCGAGGGGCGATTGTCAAGTCCTCGCCGCTCGCCTTTTTTTTTTAACCCCCGTGCCGGGACTTCACGATCGGGTCACCAGACCCATCTCGCAGCAGCCGCGCGGTCCCGCTCGCCGGCGCGTGGCTCCCCCTTCCCCTTAACGGGAGGCTGCTGCCGGCTGCTAGCCCTCCCGCAAACCCGGCTCCCGCCGCCGCCGCCCCTCCCCCGCCTCACCTCGGCGCTCTCCCTCCGGGCTGGCCCACCACTCGGCAGCGTCTCCCGCAGGCTTGTCTCGATCGCCTCAAGATCGTGAAAACAAAACAAAAAAAACAAAAACAAAAGGAGACGAAAATAACAGCGACAGACCCCCTAAAAGATCGCCGTAATCCAACAAGCAGAAGAGGCTGATTTTAATTAGGCTATTATTTTTGTCTTTTGTCTTGTCTTTTCCTTTTTTTTTTTTTTTTTTCTTAAGAGGGGAATGGCGGTCACGATTCTCCGGCGGTGGCCGAGGGGAGACGGTGCGGGTGGCGGCGGCGGCGTGGCGCGGTGTGGAGCTGCCTCGCGAGCGCGAGTTATAGCGGCGGGGTCGCCGCGTCAGTGGGCGGGGCGGGCGGCTGCGCTCGCCTTTGTGTATCAACACCACCTGGGCTCCGCCTCCGGCCCGCCTCCCTCCCCCACCCCCCGCCCGGCTGCCCCGCACCCCGACTCGGGGGGCCACTCGCACCCGGCATCTCCGGTATCCCGGTGCGCCTTAGCCCCGTGGGTGGCCGCCGCCCCGCGCGCGGCTGCCGACAGGAGCCGGCTCCCAGGCGCTTCCCTCCCACCCAGTCACCAACACTGCGTTTCAGGGGACACGCTGGCATGGGCGACACCCGGACCCCCACCCCACCCCCTTTCCAGTCCGTGACTTAAGATGTACGGGAAGGGCTTTCTCCGGCGGAACCTGAGCCGGCGCTGCCACGCTACCCCGATGGTCGGGCTGGGTTCTCGATCTTTCCACCTAGATCTGCTTTCACTCTCCAGAACTAGCTTGGTGGTGGTGAGGGCGGCTCGCAGTTCCGTGTCGGGGATAGACTCTTGCTGTGCACGTGCGACAGCCAGCGTAACGGGGAGGTTTACATTTTAACAGAAAGCCAACCCCCTTGAGAAGGGGTCGGGGCTGGGGGGGGGGTGTTCAGATCTTCTGAGGCCGCCTAGGAGTGTCCCCCTTGGCCGACACTCTCCCTCTTGCCGCCACCCCACCCCAGGCTGAAAGCTGCTCCCAGACTTCCACCCAGCTCGCCCGCCCTTGCTGGAATGCAGGCCTGGAGCTTTCTCTGCAGCCCGGATCCCTGCCCGGTTCTTGCGGAGTCGAGAGGCTCGGAGGTCCCCTAGACTAGAATATTCGGTGCTGCCGGAAAGGCGACGACCCTTCCTTTTCTGTTGAACAAAGAGAGAAACGCTAGTTGAATGAAGGAATAAACAAACGAGTTTGACCTAGTGCTCTCTCTTCCTTTGGGGGACGTGGGAGAGATTGGGCTGAGCACAGAGGAAAGGACTGGGTGTGATCACGATTTTGGCCTTCAGTGTTTTCCTGAGGAAATCTGCAACGCTGCCTATTTCCGTGGCACGTAAGACTTGAGGTGCCTTCGGCCTGTGCCAGTGTTCGTGATTGACGGGGCAGGACCCTACTTCCCCTCTACACCCTGTGCCCCTCGCCCTAACCCTTCTACTCTGGTCCAGCCGGACACACTTAAACAATAGTCTTAACTTCAATGCACGTCCCCTCTTCCTTCTCAAGTGCCGCTGCCACCCTTGGCTTAGTCGTTTCGACCCAGGAAAGCCTTTTTCGGGGCCTGCCTTAATGCGTCCCTCCCCAGAGCTGTCTTCACTGTGCTGTTTTCTAAACCGTGTAGTGCAGGGCATTGCAAACCTGTGCTGTCTTGTACAATCCTCAGATTGTTCAAGTGCGTTGGTAGTCTTGTGCCGAGAGTCTCCCCGTGGAGACGGAACTCTCCACGGCAGAGGCTAGGAATTTGGCATATAATCAGGGCTGAAAAGTCTTTTTTACCTTCCTTCCAACTGCACCCCTACTAACACCGGCTCTACTCTTGTCAGAAAATCTTGGTGGTGGGCTCCACAGGAGTCCTGGGAAATTCCTTCCTATCAGGTTTCAACTGATACAAATCAAAAGGTCTTAAACCACTTTTTCATCCCAGGTAAATCTCTGCCCCTGTCAGAGGAGTTCAGGAAGTTCTCTCATTTGGTGGTTATGGCTGTAATTTGCAATACAACCAGATCTATTGTCCTTTGGATTCATTGGTGGTTCATATTACAGGTTAGGGAAGAGTCATACCTGTGAAATTAAGTGTGTGTGTAGGGGGGGTGTTGGAGGCTTGAAATATTGATCTGAATTTCTGGATGGCCAGAACCTGAACAGTACACGACCAAACAAAACAAAAAGTGGTTTTTCTATCACCAGTTAGTCAATCAAAAAAGCATTAGTGGGCCTGGAGAGATGGCTCACTGTTTAAGGGCACTTGCTGCTCTTCCGGAGGACCCATGTTCAGTGCTCATCACTCACATGGTACTACTGTGGTAGCCAGCCCTAACCTGGTGACACTATGCCTAGACACTCCTACTTTCATTATTAGTGGCACTTCTTTCCAAAGTGGCCTGGTTTGTGTGACAATTTACACATTCGAACACTACCATTTGTAACTCCAGTTCCAGGGAATCCAAAGTCCTCTTCTGGCTTCTGTGGCCACAGCATACATGTGGTGCAGACATAGATGTAGACAAAACACCAATACACCTAAAAATGAACCTTAAAAACAAATGAGACCTCAACTGTGTTGGTTGGGTTTTTGCAGTTCTTCTCTGTTCAGAAGGCAGGAGGGACAATGAAACCGGTCCCCCCATGATGGTCTGCATCTTTCAAACTGCAAAAGGGGACCAAGTGGTGAGACTGATGAATTCAGTGGGTGTCTACCAGCTTACATTCTACTCCAACGGGCTGGATAGATTTCCCATCTGCAGCAATACTGAGCGTTTTGCTGTGAAACTTGCATTTTGACTAAACATGATTCATTTTGAGTTGTGATGTAAAATGTACTTGGGGTGTTTTTGAACCAAATTTTCAGAAACTACGTCTTGTCTGGGCTGAACCGGAAGTCAGGATCCACTTTCTTTAGTCCCTTTCCTTAACACCTGGAGTTGGAATTACAGCTGGGGTTGCTGCGCTTACCACCACACTTGGTTTTGTGCTGTAAAATTTTTTTCTTGCTGGGACCAAGGAAGTCTGAGAGCAATCTGATAGCCTATCCCATGAGGGAAAGGCAACCATACAATAGCTCAGACGACTTGAGTTCATTGTCAAGGCAGGTTGCTGGAAGTTTTTGTTTTGTTTTGTTTTTTGTTTGTTTTTTTTGGTTTTTACGAGACAGGGTTTCTCTGTATTGTTTTGGAGGCTGTCGGTCCAGCCTGGCCTCGAACTCACAGAGATCCCCCCCTGCCTCTGCCTCCCGAGTGCTGGGATTAAAGGCATGCGCCACCACCGCCCTGCACAGTGCTTCGTTCTCTAGTGAGTTTGTTTCTCCCTACTTTCCATTTTTAGCAAGTCTTCTTCTGAGATTAGCATTTATAACAATAATACAATGATTTGGCCTTGCCTGTAATTCTACCCTGCCAGTGATGAACCCTGTGAATCTTACTTTCTGGTCTCCAACCTTTTAGAAATCCTCTCTCCATGAACATGAACTGGGCCTAGTAATGGTGCTGTACTTGGCAAAAATAGCATCACTTTTTCAAAAAAACAAAAAAAGACTTCTTATTTATTTGGGGAGGGGCGTGCCCACGTGCTCACAGAGCCAGAGGGATGGGATCCTCTGAAGTGTAGTAGGAGCCTATTGTGAGCTACTGACATGGGTGCTGAGAAACTCTAGTGTTCTGAAAGATCAGCACATGACCTTCACTGCTGAGCCATCTCTCCAACCTCCTCCCTTCTGAACCCTGGTTACAAAAAGACACGGGCTTTCCTGAGAGCTGGAGAGATGGCTCAGTGCTTAAGAGCCCTTGTTCATGCAGAGGACCTAGGTTTGATTCTCAGCACCCTCATGGTGGCTCACAGCCATCCACATGCCACCATTCAAGGGATCTGATGTCTTCTTCCAACATCCATGGACGCAGGCATGCATGCAGTGCATGGCCCATATGCATAATCTTTCAAAAAAAAAAAGGTTCATGGCTTGCATCTTGTTCTCTCACTACACTCCCTCTCTTTTGCTTTCTCCTGCATTGCCTTCAAGGGAAACCAGCCTCATCTCTTGAATTGTCCCATGGGAAGATCCATGTGGCAGAAGCTGTTATCTCTGGCAAAACCAGGGACTCCCAGATGCTTGCTGGAGTCAAGGATAAGCTTGGAGGCTTCCTCATGCTCACTCGGTCCTGGAGATAACTTTGACCCCAGGGGAAACCTTCGTCACAGAACTCTGGGTTCTTGACCCATAGAAAAAAGTGACGACTGTTCATTCTGGCATAGCTTACTACTTATCAATAGATAAATCAATATATCCCTTTCATACTCTGTGCTTTTGCCAAAATGTACTGCTTATTGTTACCAATTACAAATCATTTCCCATTTACATCACACTTAGAATGGTCTCTATGCCTTGTTGCCTCGCCTTTCCGACGTATCTAAATGTTTTTTGTCTTCCCTTAGAGACTCAACTTCAATGCCACATTTTTCATTAGCTCTTCCGGATTTGATGATTTCATGTGAGAGTGGTCTTACTCTATAAGAGCTTTTGGGTGATCCTTTTAGTGTTGTCTATATACTGTTTCTTGTTTTGTTTTGGTCTGGTACCAGAGGAAAAGCTCCAATCTTTTGGGGGCAGCCTTTGTTTAATCCTCTCTAGCCCAGTCACTTATGAAAAGAAAGTTCTTTTCAAGCATGTGTTTGAATGAAATGCTTCCTTTTTTCCCGCTTTAGTACCCATGGCCTCTGCAATTATGTTAAATGTGTATGTTTATTGCCTGCTGCCCTCCCTAGAGTGTAAAGTGGCTTAATCTAGTTTGATCACCGTATCTCCTGAATTCATAAATGCAGAAACAAGAGTTCTGAGTTTCCCTAGACACAGAAGAAACCTATTATCTAACGTGACTGGAGGGTATCTATCCTATATCCCTTACAGAGCACAGAACTCTCTTGGTTTCCCTATCAAAACTGTTGGTTTTCTAACCTAGCTAATTTGGAGGAATGTTGCAGTGATTGGTAAAGGGGCTCGGCCCCCAAGCCACGTACTCATCTTGGACTCTCATCCTAACTCTGCTTTTCCCTCAGCCTATCAACAAGTCATGCTCATTGTCCTCCTAGACATGCTAACCTGCTTGTGGGCTTCCATTCTGTGTGCTCATGGCCCATTTCTTACTTCAGAGAACCTGGGAACATCAATCTCCTTTTTGGGGGGAGGGGTTTTTGGAGACAGGGTTTTTCTGTGTAGCCCTGGACTTCACTCTGTGTGTGTGTGTGTGTGTGTGTGTGTGTCTCCATTAGGGCTGGATACTGGTTGTTTTTATTTGCTTCTGACCTTTGACTCTCTGCATCTCCCCTCCCAGATCTCTTTCTGCAGTGTTGACTCTGGTATCCTTCATGATACATAGCTGGCCACAGCAAAATGTTTGCAGAATTCATACATTCGATTTTCCCCCTTATCTGTCGCATACACCAGACTGATTGCTTGTTGTAATAGACACACTTTTTCTTTTCTTTCTCAGACCCACTCTCTGCAAGCCATAGATATGAGAGATAATTGCAAAGACTTGTTTTCTAATGGTTTTATTTCATCTAATTGAATGACAGCCTGATTCCCTTGTCCCAAGTCAGTGTTAATCAACATTCAAACTTAAACACTAGAATTATAGAAAGACAGTAAAATTACTTTTCTTTCTATCCCTCTTCCTCAAACCACACCCTTTCCTTTATTCCCATGAGTTCCATATTTTCTCGTTTTATTTTTAAATTGTCCAATAAAACTATATATTTTATGAAAGATGTTTCGAAGTTTACATATAAAATGTCTCAGGTAGCCAGGCATTGGTGGCGCACGCCTTTAATCCCAGCACTTGGGAGGCAGAGGCAGGCGGATCTCTGTGAATTCGAGGCCAGCCTGGTCTACAAGAGCGAGTTCCAGGACAGTCTCCAAAGCCACAGAGAAACCTTGTCTCGAAAAACCAAAAAATAAAATAAAATAAAATGTCTCAGGTAAGCTAATGAATGAGATAAATATTTATATTTTGTGGGGGTAAGAACACTTAAAATCTCTCTTTGAACATTCAAAATAAAACATATAGTTATTAGGTATAGTCACCATGGTGTATAATACACCTTGTGAAGGTATCCAATTTCATATTCATTCTCTCTGTGTGTGGTGTATGTATACACATGATTGCATCTGTAAAGGATAGAAGTCAATATGTATCATCCCATATTACTTTC